CAAAATACATATGGAAACTTCGAAGTCACAAAAACAAACAAATGAAAAAATAAATATTTTTTAACAAAGAACAGGGAGTACTATATCAGATGAGAAACTTAAAAGAAGAGTATATTATATTAGAAGCAAAGAAAAAAAAACAATAAAAGAGAAAGAACAACAAAAAAAATGAATATGACATGAATAATACAAAAGTATGAAAGCACTACAAATGTATAATGAAGCTATACAAAATATACCGATACATCCATGTAAAATATGTAAAAGACTTTGGTTTAAATATAACAAAAAAAACAAGAATATGCATGCAATAAATGCATGACAAATAGACAAAAATATAAAAGTCCAGAAAAAATTAGAATGAATCAAATTGATCAATATACAGAACAACTAAATGATATTGAAGAGAAAATGCTAACTCTACATATTTTATTTGCAAATATAACAATACAAAATCAACCTCAATATCAGCAACACATAAAAGGAGGAATAATAAATGTCCCAACTAATATTAAACCAATAATTAATAAAATACCAAGAACATTTGAAGAAACACAAACAATTACAATTCAGCTGAAACGAAGATTAACAGATAAATATTATTATAAATATGGAATAGCCAGACCACATTATATTTATATTAGTATAAAACAATTACAAGAAACAGAACTATATAAGAAAAATAAAATTAATATAGATGAAAATTGGTTTCAACAAGCACAAAATTTATACAATATAGATAATAACACACAAATAATATTAGAAAACGAATTGCAACAAGAATTAAATGAAGATGATGATAGTGTAAATTTTATAAACAACCCTGATAATGAGATATTACCAACAAATACTTTGGTAATTAGCTTCTTAGATGCAAACCAAATAGATAATTTTACAAATAAAGTTTTAGTTATAGCACCTGGTCAAGGACAACACCCATTAAGATTATTTGTAGATGAAAATACTGAAGAAATGAGCTATCCAAAATTATTTGGTGGAAAACCAAGACCATTAGACATAAAATGTAAATTTATATACTAAGAAATAATCCAATGGGAATTAATGAATGAGGATAGAAAATTTGCATGACATATTGAACATATATTTACAGCAGCTGTAAAAACTGATATCAAATTTGTCAATCAAAATGTAGGTTTTAGATTAAAAAAATTTACTTATGAAGGAAGAAAAATCACATAAAAAGATGTGCTTGAAAATGGAAATATGGATAAAATATTAAAGTCAAACATTGGTTTTAGAGATTTAAGAAATCTAAGAACATCACCAGATAATTTAGAAGTACTAAAAAAATATGCATTTGCCATGATAAGATAATTAGGACCACCAACACTATTCTTAACTCTTAGCTGTTCAGAAAGACATTCGGAACCATTAATAAATTGTTTAAAACATTTGAAAACAGATATATAACAAAAAGAAGAGATAGAAAATTTAAATGAAAAAGAGAAAATATATAAAATACTAAGAGCCGATCCAATCACCACAATACGATATTATGCACATAAAACATCAGTATTTAGAAAATTATTAATGTCCAATTATCACATATTTGGAAGGAAAGTAAAAGACTATTTATTTGTAATACAATTTCAACAACATGGTACACCACATGAACACGCACTAATATGATTAGAAAATCCACCACAAAAGAACAAATAAAAGAATAAGCTATTCAGAATATATGTATTGATTCAGAGAAACTACCAGATAATATAAAAAGATGTTCAAACTCATAAACATAGAAAAACATGTAAAAAATATAAAAATATAAATTGTAGACTTAATTACCCAATTCCTCCAATACCACAAACAGAAATCTTAGATCTTATAAAAGACATTACAAAACATGAAAAGGATTCTTATGCAATGATTTACAAAAAAATAAAAATAATACTAAAAGATAAAACTATAGATCTAAAAAATTTAGAGCTTGATGAATATTTAAAAATAATAGGAATAACATATGAGAAATATAAAGCTACAATAAGATCAACATTAACAAATGCAAAAAAAATTATAAACGAAAACCAAAAGACATAAACACAAATACTTTTAATAACAAATTATCAAATTTGTAGCAATCAAATGTAGATATACAAATTATTCTTGATCGATATGCAGTAGCATCATATTGTTTATCATACATTGCATGTATTGAAACAGAAATAACAAAGAGATTATCAACTGTATTTAAAAAATTCCAAGAAGGAATAGATGCATATAATAGAGTTCGGTTATTAGGAAATAGTTTCATACGTTGTAGGGAAATGCCAATTCAACAAGCACTTTTTTTAATATTGTCAATCCCATTCATCATATGTCTAGAATTGTAAAGTTCATTGATACTAAACTACAAGAATAACGAACAAAATGTTTAAAAACGAAACAAAACCTTGCAAAAATGCAAGAAGATGAAACAAACACAGTAGTACCTGGACTAATTGAAAAATACATGCGAAGACCAGAAGAATTAGAAGATTTAACATTAGCAGAGATAACAACTGAATATATAATTGAAAAGGAAGTAACAACACAAAAAATTTTAAAAAAACAATATAATTAGATATATAAACTTTAGTAAAGAAAAAGATCCAGAAAAGTGGGCTTTTGAAAGATTAATTTTACATAAAAAATTTAGAAAAGAAGAATATCTTAAAAAAATGTACATAACATATATGAATGCATATGAAGAAAATATGGAACAAATAGATGAAAAATAACATCAATACATATATAAAAAAAGTAACAAATGAGAGTGAATTTGATATAGGGAAAGATTTATTCAAAATGAAAAATAAAAAAACTTAAATTTAAATATAAAAGATAAAATATTAACAAACTCAACAATTATAATACAAGATGAATACCTTATGGAAATTAGTAAATATCACCAATTATTAAGAACTCTAAATAAAAAGCAAAAAATAATATATGATGTCTTCATATTGAAAAATATAAAACAACCTAACAAACAATTGTGCTTATTTTTAACAGGAGAAGCAATAACTGGAAATTAAATGCTTTTAAATAGAAACACTCAAACAATATTATAAAACAAACCAAGTTATAAATAATGAACCAGGACAAACAATATTAATAATAGCACCTACAGGAAAAGCAGCTTATAATATAAATGGTTCAACAATACATTCAGCTTTTGCATTTCGACCAGAAGCATCAAAACAATGTCAAACAATATTAACAAATGACACATTAGATAAATATAAAAGAAAGTTTCAATAATAAAATGTTTAGTAATAGATGAAATATCAACGGTAAGTATAGAAATGTTACAAGATATAAATAGAAGATGTGAAAGCTTCAAAACAACATATAGAATAGGCTTTGGTGGGATGGATTGTATATTTACAGGTGATTTCTATCAATTAAATCCTACATTTGAAGCACCAATTTATTCAACATAAATATATAGACCTGAAAATTATGTCTCCATACACCACCCATGAAAAATAATTTTAAAATCTATGAACTTACTGAAATAATGAGGCAAAAAGATGATATAATCTTTATAAAAGCTTTAAATAAAATAAAAAATAGGAGAAAAAACAGATAAAGAGCTAGAATATTTAAATAAACAAGTCACCACAAATACATATAACACAGAATACTATTCTATATTTGCAACTAATGAACAAGTAAGAGAATATAATGAAAAAATAATACAACACATACAAGGTAAAGATATAATTATAGAAGCACAAGACAAACATGGAAATTCCTGTCCTACACATTTCACGCTGCCAGATGACACAAGAAAAATATAAGGACTACATAAAATATTACATTTGAAAAAGAAAATGGCAATTGAAATAACACAAAATATAGCAACAGAAGATGGATTAGTAAATAGAGTAGATGGAGTATTACGAGATGTAACCCAGATTGAAAAAGAACAAATAATGTGGATAGAATTCCCAAATATAAAACCAGGTGAAAAAACAAGAGCTAAAGAAAACATAACAATAAAGCAAAATAATGAAAAAAAATGGACACCAATAAAAAAAGTAACAAGAATAATAAATATTACTAAAAATAAAAACTATGTTATAAGTAGAATCCAATTTCCAGTACAACCATGTGCAGGAAGAACAATACATAGAGCACAAGGGTCAACAGTTATGCAATTAGGATATGACCCATATAAAACAAAATATCTAGGACAAGCATACACCACATTATCAAGAGCACAAACACTAAAAGGGATACATTTATATAGACCAATTGAACATAAACATATTAAAATCAATAAAGATGCAGCTAAAGAAATAATAAGAATGACAATAGAAGCACCATAGCAAATTGATTTAATAGATTTACAAGAAGAAAAAATAACTAACCAAAAAATTATACAAGTTCTAAATACAAGATCTATTACTGCACATCAAGAAGATATAAAGAGTGATTCACAATTATTAACATCAGATATAATATGTATGCAAGAAGTAGGAACACAAAAACATGAGGATTTATATTTTGATAAATATAAATTATATATACATGAACAACCCCCACATATAGCAATATTGCATACAAATGACTATAATTCAGAAATAGTAGAACATTTAAAAACAGAAACAATGGCAATGTCATATGTATCACTAGAAAAAAATAAAAAACACTTACAGATAATAAATTTACATAGAAAACCTGGAACAAATATATATATATTCATAAAACAATTACAAAAATATATACAGAAAATAGATAATAAAAAACCAGTAATAATTACAGGAGATTTTAATATTGACTACCAAATAGAAGAAGTAAAACCACTTCAAACAATAATGGAGAAAGAAGGATACATACAAATAATAAAACACAATACACATAATAACAAATTAATAGATCATATATGGATAAAAGATATAATATATACAAAAGTAGGAATAGCACCTGCATATTGGACAGATCATAACAATTATGTATCGTAATAAAAAATATTTAAAAACAAAAGCAAACCAACTGTTGCTGCAATGCAACGCGCAGCAATTTATTACGAATTGCACTCACACACTAGTACATGGGGTTAGGCAGCTTAAAGAACATAAACTTTTCTTGGTCAACTTTGTCCGGCAAATTTTCAATTCTGATTGTTTTCTCCCCTGATGCTCCTGTCACTGCAGTCTCATCTTGTTGTATGCGCAGCTCATTTGTATTGAACTGACTGGAAAAGCGCCATTGATTAGTAAAACCTTGATATTATCACAAAGAACTACTTACTAGTCCAGGATTAATTTTGTCCAGCCACTGTAGCCTGCAGCACGCAGGTTCCTTTCCGTTGCTTCACGTTGCTTCTCGGATCTATCGGAGATGAGCACGATTCTCCAGTTTGCACACAACAGCTCGTTGTAGAAATCCAAAGAAGACTTGATTGCTACAGCCTTGCCTTGTTGCACCCAAAGGTCAAAGTCGGTACTGTTACGCGGGAGGGCCCTGTATCAAAGTAAAACAACGAAATGTCAGTCATAATCTCATGATAAACGGATGGACTTTACCCGAACTGGCGAGTGGCATAGTAAGGGACATTGGACAATAGTGTCTGGTCGACTTGGAAGATCCAAGTGCCAGGGTTAGTGGGAAATAACCTTGCAAACTTAGTAGATTGGAGAGTTGCTCCCCACACATCACCTCCATACAACCCCTTTGTCATGTAGTCTCCAATGTAGTCGATGCAATCTTTGGGGACAGTCCAGCCCTTGGCAAGGTTGGCAGCTTCTGCATTGCGCTGGAAAATGCCGCAGAATTGATCCACGGTCATCCAATCAGGCTTCTCTTGGAGGTCCACCTTGCAATTGGAACAAGTTACCGCATGAGAGCAAACCGTCATATGGACAACAACAAGACAGGCAACCAGAATACATGTGGACGATGCCATGGTGTGCATTGGAGAATGTTCCCAGTTTTATATAGTCTAGACGGGAGTGCGTGCTAGCTCACACTGGTAAAGCCGAGTACGAAAGGTTCCATCTCTGAGACTACGGAAGAATTTTTATTAAAGTTCGGCAGGGATGGTATGAGTTCCAGGAATAAGCTCTAAAATCCTTAGGGCTGATAAAGGGCCGACGTGGCAGTAACGTCAGAGGTCGTTGAGTGGAAGTCAGAAATGCTTGATAATGAATAAATTCATGTGAGCCACCACTTTCAAGTTCACTTTTCACTTACCGTATTAACAAGAAATCAAGTCCCGATTCTGAGCCCATGTTTTATTTGAGCGAACTTATGGGGGACGAAGCCATGGACAAATGAGACACCTCTGGGAGGTACCGGAGAATATAGGAAAAATGCATTAGAGCGACAAATCCAATATCGAGGAAAAGTTGTCCTTCCAAATCACATAGGCATTACTGTTTTTTCAAATTACTGGCACTGGCCGTGGAAAGAATCATTTGCATTATTGTTGTAAGGATGAAGGACATGTTGCACTGAATACATTCTCCACTACCATGTTCCTTTAATTTGCCAATGTGTTCGACTTGTTAACAGCCTTGAAGGATACAGTTTTCATTTTTTGTTTTTTCGTTTAGAGAACTTATGGCGGAAAAGAAGCCATGGGAGACATCGAGCATTGTTGCCATTGCAGTATTCATATTTGCCATTGTAGTTGCAACAGGTGTGCTGCTAGTCTTCTCGTTATGTGTGAACAAAAAGAAGCCAGAAGGTGAGTTCTATTCTGATCTCATCAAACAGACAGGTACAACTTGTTGGGAAACCAACGTGTTTGCGACAACAAACGACCCCTTCTACAAATGGGCCACAAGCACCTCCATTGCATCGACACTCAAATTTACCAGTGTTAGCACGGCGGAGGTTGCTGCTGCTTATCAAACGCTCAGTGCATGGCGGGTTTGGAGAAGCAACAACAAAACTGTAGAAGCTGATCTTTTTAACTCGCCCGATCCACACTTGTATGGAGGAGTCATTCAGCGTAATAGTCCGATCTGGAAAATGGCGATTCACTGGGGGATAAACTTACGCCTGTGCATCGATGATGGGAGAGGGCCGTCTGCTGTCGAACGCTGCAAGGTCACTGCACCTATAGTCCCAGTGAAAAAAACCAGCGGTAAGCCGGATCTTGGCTTACTTCTCAGTAAAGTACCTTTCGCAATGCCATCTTCCACCATCACGCATCCAGTTTTCACCGAGTCTGGATTTTATTTCAGCAACTTTGCTAGCAGTGCGAGGTCCAACATATCCACGGGGATTAGCCAGGAGAAAATTCCCTATAACGACTCGACATGGTCTTACTACAGCAATGATATTAGAGAATGCAGCCCATCTGTTCCCATCAACTACATGCCGGATGTTATTTCTTACTTGTCCTATCCATTCTTACAGTGTGCCTGCCGTCACCAAGTTTGCATAATCGGATACAACTTGACGCAAGGCCAAAATGTTTCCTTCACCTTCAACACTTCTCAGTGTGAGACATCTCGATCATTTTGGGACTGGGATGTTATCCAAGATAATCATACCATCTTTCTTGGATCTTACAGCATCAAATTTAACGTCCCGGTGACACTCAAAATTCATTTTAATGACTCTCTTCCCATTGGCGCCAGCCTTGCCAACCTCACAGAAGGTGTGCTGAGTGGGATGGAGCAGATGACAACATGCATTGAGACAAAGTTAGAAGGAGACCAAAAGCCAACTCGCAAATATCTATTGAATGCTTGTACAAAAAACCTGACGGGTTGCCAAGTTTCGTCCGTCGGCGGCAAGAATTTTGGTACGCAAGCCGACAAGGTGGGCGGCACTGTCATCAAAGATTTTCTGAAGAAGACACAAGGAAGGGACATCACCTGTGGGAACGAAGAATTCAAGGTGAGTTCGATACTGTGACCTTTTTTTTTCTGAAGGCTGATGTTTTATTTTCTTGGTTAAGGTGGATTCACCACCGTGTTTCAGAAAATTGTCTACAGAGGACAACAAGAAAGTCCAAGAAGTTCTCAATGACTTGTTGAAAGTGAGCAACGTTCATCGTTTTGGAGAGCGGTATTGGAAAGATGGATCTTCTCGTCGAACACAAGTTTATGCGTCTTTTATGACATTTGTCATTGCATTCCTGGGAATTTGTGCTGGCTCCTTGAGCAGGACACTCTTAGAGTGGGAAAATTCATTGTTTCGCCAACTCGATCAACTTAAGTTGGCCGGTAAGCCAGGCTACCGTCCACTAATCAGAACTTTGGGGCGGACAGTGTTCATTGCTGGTTCAGTGGCAGGAAGCTTGCCAGGTCTCTACTTCAGCATAAATGACCTCGAGAAGGAACCTTCCCTTGCCACTGCTGAGACAATTCTCCAGCTCAATAATGGCACAGCATTCCTAGTGACAACGACATCCACAGTTGAAGTTACTCCAAACTGGATAGTCTTCCAAGAGTTCACTGTGTTTATTGGATTAGCAGTGGTTGCACTAGCCATCCTCATCTACTTCAAATTAGAGAAAATACATCAGCAACATGATGAGAAAAATGTTCAGCAACAGGGGGATTCTCCAGGTAAATCTTCATCACTTTTGTTTTGAGCTAACATATGTTAATTTTTCTGACAGACAAAAATGCATAGCTCGCTTCGTGTTTCCGCTTTGATTTTCTAGTCTAGCTGTCCGGGGCCAGCCTGCTTTTCCGTGCATTTCTTTAACTTCTTTTATGTAAGAAATAAGTATGACAAATTAGGGTTTTATTACATACCAATTGACTATATGAAATAGATTGCTTCAAAAATTAATTTTCTATTTTCTCTTCATTCTTTTGTTATAACACAAGCTTTTTTCTTGTTGTATTATGGGCGTATTTCTTCGAAGTGTCTAATTTGAATGCTGTTAGATTAGTTTGATGAAATATAATTCTAGAAATCAGTAGTATAACAGTATAATTCAAGCATACTTGACTAGATTGCTCGCTCGCTCACCAATCCCTTCTTTCGTGGATTGCTTTGTGAAAAGAGCGGTTTCATGAAAGTGTCGCTTTGGCCGAGTGGTTAAGGTAGTAGTAGGAGACAGCAGAAGAGAAGAAAGAGAAGTAGTGAGTAGTAGTAGAAAAAGAAGAAGAAATAGGACGAAAACACTCCAGAAAAACAAGCTCACTCAGAGGCCCAGGGCTTGAGCAACGAGTCCATACCTCTCTCGTAGATGGCCTTGGCAACGCAAGCGTCCTCCTGCTTCCCAAACCTCACCTCCCACTCCATCTCCATCGCCCTCTTTGCCGCTTCCTTGTCCCGTGCGTAGTTTGCCATCGTCTCCAGGTAACTCTCGTTGCTATCGTTGCCAGCCGTGAGCTTGTGCATCGCCTCCATAATCACCTCTCCCGCTGAAACATAATCCCCTCCGGCAGCGCCACCACGTTTCCAACCTCCACCTGCTGGTAGTACCACAGGTAGAGCGACCAGTGGATCGCTCTCACGCACTGCCTCTCCTCCTCATCCTGGAGCTTTGTCGCCAACACTTGCTCCAGCTTCACCACCATCCAGGCCGGACTGCTCCCTCCCTTGAACGGAAACTCAAAGTTTGCCTCGGCCAAGTCCCTGTAGAAGCCAGTCACCTGCGCGAGATCCTCGAAGGAGAGCCTCGTCCGCCTGTAAGGATGGCCGCCGATGATGTAGCAGAACCCGAGTGATGTCTCGGGTGGCAAAGTAGCACGCCGTGGTGCCAAACACCCTCTGGGAAACGTTCCCAACACAGGAGTGGTTGATGAAGCGGGGGACGAACCAAGTAGCGACGTAGAGCAAGCGTACCGTCGGCTCGTTCTGGCTTAGGCAGCTGCACCTTAGGATTGAAGGAAGCTTGGCTGACCATTTCGAAAAATCTCTGGACCGTAATGCCTTGGAGAGCTTCCCTGCTACTGTCGGTGCTGCAGTTCTCCGGCGTGGCCCAGTCTGGCTGGAAAATCTCCATTGCGGGAACTCCACGCTCGTTCCCTGCGACCTCGCAAGCAAGGCTGTGGATCAGCTTGTATGCTCGCGGAGACTTCATGGCCATGTCGAGCAGCCGGACTGCAGTGTTTCTATCGCAAATGGATCTGTAACCACCTCGCTCAAAGGCTGCCGAGTTGCTGACAAGAATGAGCTCGCCTTTCTTGATGCTTGTCATTGTAAAGAGTCCCCGGCCTCGTCCCTTGCTCTGATCTTTACTTCCACTTTGCAAAAGTTGTCCGCAACCTCTGGGAAAACTGGAAGTTCCTCTCCTTCACTCCAGGCCCGAAGAAAGTCACGAATCTCTGCCATGATGCTGCTGCTGTTGCGGCGCTGGATGGCGAGCTTGTTGCATCTCTGGTGCAGTCGATCGATTGCCTCGCCCAAAATCTTGCATGACCAGTCGTAGAGATGGAGCTTGAGTCAAAGCTGCCATCTTGGAAGAGCTTGTTGCCTTCCAATCGCAGCGCCATAGGAGATCACCTCCACGGTTGTCCAGCGAGGTGAAGGAAGAACCCTCTTGCTTCTGGAGCATCGGCTCCTTGACGGCCACTCGAGCTCCTCTCGGATATTTCGCTCGGACTTGCTCGGATGTGGCGTCGCTGCACTGCGTGCTTGATCGCTAGAAGAACCTCGTCGCCGCTGGAATCCCTGAGCGTAGTGAGTACCTGGACGCTATCCTCGAGCTTGAGCGTATCCGCAATGAGCACTCCATGGAGAACACAGCCTACCACATCGTCTCCGGATCGGTGTGCGGCCGAGAGGGAGAGATTTCGGTGCCCGAGCGAGACGGAGCATCATCGCCGTCGCGAAAAAACTAGGGTTCAAGCTCCTACGAATATACCTTTGTTTACGTTAAGAGTTTTTGCTTTATCTTAATCATAGATATTAAAGGCGGAAAGCTAATGGTTGGTTTAATTACTTCTTTCTCATTGTTGGATTCTTGTGCTTGGCAGGACGAGAATATTACAAAGTTCAGAGCTCTATTTTTCCTAAATCATACCTGTGGGACATGCTGAAACTTCCCTCTCATTGTTGGATTCTTGATTACTTCTATCATTTTTGCTACAGCTCTGAAGCATACCTGTGGGACATGCTGAAACTTCTTTTTCATTGTTGGAATCTTGATTACTTCTATCCCATTGTTGGATTCTTGTACGAGAAGAACAAAATTCATGATTTGCAAGGTAAAGTTCATAGTTTTCATTTGGATTTTCACTCATTCATGCTGAAACTCAAGACGAACTACGATGGAACCGTCATCATGTATCCATCCCTGCAACTCGTCGCTCAGACACAGCTCCATCGTCTTCCTCAAAGAACCAGTACGTGAATCCCTCAAACATTGACTTGGGAACAACGTAACGAGCTTGTACTGCTCGGGGCGCGGCAGCTGCTGCTTGTCATGCAAATCATCCAGCTCTCGAACAACTTCGTCGATCTCGGGCCAGCAACTTCTCGTCGTGGTCACCCGCAGAATCATGTCCGCGAACTGAAAGCCGAAGCAATAGTCCGGCAAGCATGCGAGTCCGCGAAATTCATTCGTCCGCGGCACACACACAGCTCGAGTACACCTTCCACTCGCGCAGCCGCTTCACCGACACCGGCATCACGCTCAAGCGCTGGACGCCGCCACCTTTCACCTCCAGGGACCCAAGAGCAAAATCGGAGCCTCCACTCGCAAGGATCAAATGGATCGTTCAACTCGGTGGTGAGTGCAAGCTTGGTGTTTGGATTGGACTCCGCCCAGAGCTTTGCTCTTGCGAATCACGAGCCAGGAACTTGCACTGCTTCAGTTCCTCAGAGAGACCAAGTTCCCAGGCCATAATTTTTTGCCCAGAATCCCCCATTTAATCGCACATAGCTTGCATAATCCCCATTCTAAGTCAATCAACATTTGCTATCTTGCTTAACTCAGAAAGCAAGGACGGATTCAGATTCACAGGGATACCCTCCTGCCATGTCATATAAAAATCAGTGTTAGTGTTTCACGAGTTTATAAGCCATGATCCAGTAGTTCCAGCAAATGCCTTTTCAGGGCATATGCAGTGCACATCACTGTCCAAGAAGAAATATCTCCCCATTGAGTCGAAGCTGAATTTTCTCTATCGCAGTACCAACTAGCAAGATAGCTGTCGATATTATCACTCCTTGCAATGGATTCGTGGAGCCTCCACTCATCCCTCCAGAGGTCTCCTTCTCAAGTGATTAGACTATTTCACGGGATAAGCACGACAAGGTGTCTCAAGGCTAGGGTTTTCTCCAGCGGCGGTCCTGGCGCCTCGATTCGATCAGGTGACACGCATTCTCGAGCTCGCCTTTAGCACTGCCGATCGTCCATGGGAAATTCCACATCCATTGCGAGGAGGAGCAAGCGATCTTGGAGCTCGCTCGCCAATCCCTTCTCTCAAGCGCCTCCCGTGGAGAAATCTCCAGTCCAGCGGCCGATCGAGAAGATCCTGATCGCGAACAGGGGCGAGATTGCGTGCCGGATCATCAAGACCGCGCGTAGCTTGGGATTAAAAACGGTGGCGGTTTACAGTGATGCCGATCGAAACTCGCTACACGTCCGTCGAGCCGATGAAGCAGTGTTTATCGGCCCAGCTACTTGTCCACTACTTCCATCCTCGACGCTGCTCGTCGCACTGGAGCCGATGTAAGCTTTCATTTCTTTTCTTCTCAACCCATACATATCCAACTTGTTCTCAGGCAATCCATCCCGGGTATGGATTTCTATCAGAAAATTCGAAGTTTGCGCAGGCTTGCCACGAGTCTGGGATCACATTCATTGGCCCTTCGGCAGCTGCGATTAGCTTGATGGGAGACAAAAGGTACGCCATCTCCATTTTTCTTCAAAGAACCATAAGAACTATCTTGGAACTCCTTAGTGCCTCCAAAAAGCTTATGAGCGGTGCTAATGTTCCTGTTGTTCCTGGATACCACGGGGATGATCAGAGCCACGAGCTGCTGCAATCTGAGGCTGATCGGATTGGCTATCCCGTTCTGATCAAGCCTGTTCTTGGTGGCGGAGGAAAGGTTGGTTTTTTGCTTTCTTTTTGGTATTTTGTTTCAAGTTGGCGACACTACTGATTTCTCTTGTAAAGTTTTGGTTCAGGGCATGAGGATTGTCCACAGCAGAGACGAGTTTCTGGACAGTTTGAGAAGCGCTCTACGTGAGTCTGCTGCTGCGTTTGGCGACACCAGGGTCTTGATTGAGAAGTATATCGCACAGCCTCGACACATAGAAGTCCAGGTGGGAGATTTTCTTCAACCTGGAAATTTATCACAGACTTGCTGACAGATCTTTGGCGACCGCTTTGGTAACGTTGTTCATTTGTTTGAACGGGACTGTAGCGTTCAGAGGCGCCACCAGAAAATTATAGAGGAAGCACCAGCGGTAGGACAATATTTCATGCTGTTTGCTGTTTCACCATGTTTTTTTTTTATATTCCAGCCGCTCATGTCAGACGACTTTCGCAACTCAATAGGACAAGCAGCAGTCAATGCGGCTAAGGTATCCTCTTTTGTGATTTGCTGCTATCAAATCTAAATTTCTTTTCTATCGAAGGCTGTGAATTACGAAAATGCTGGCACTGTCGAGTTTATTGTCGACACTGCAACAGGAGATTTTTTCTTCATGGAGATGAACACACGTTTGCAAGTAAGGACGGACTTCCACTAGTTTCTGTATATGCTGAATTAAACTTCTGGTCAGGTTGAGCACCCTGTCACCGAAATGGTGACGCGTCAAGACTTGGTGGAATGGCAAATTCGTGTCGCAAATGGCGAAAGCCTTCCACTTGAGCAAAAGAGTATACCGCTGCAAGGTAGCTTCTCTACACTATTTATTCCCGAAGATTATCGCAGCTAAGCAGGTCATGCGTTTGAGGCTCGGGTCTATGCTGAAAACGTTCCAAGAGGTTTTCTACCTGCTGCTGGAGTTCTTTACCATTATAATCCACCTACCGCTTCATCTACTGGTACTCGTGGCAAACCTGAAGAATCCTAAGCAGTTTACCTTGTCAGTGCAGTGAGAATTGAGACGGGTGTAGAGCAAAGTGATGCTGTAAGCGTCCACTACGATCCTATGATAGCCAAGCTGGTCGTATGGGGTAGTGATCGCGATATGGCGTTGGCGAAGCTGCATAATTGCCTCTCGAATTTTCAGGCAAGTTGGTTTGCTCTTTTTTTTTGTAATTATTGTTGAGTACTAACATTGCATTCGCCAGGTTGCTGGACTTCCAACTAACATCCACTTTTTAAAAAAGCTTGCAAAACATCCGGCTTTCAGGGCTGGGGACCTGGAAACACAGCTACTAGATTTTTCCGAAAGAGCCAAGCGAGATGTAAAATCTTTCGCTGCTTTAGCGGCCGTGGGCGTATGTGTAAGGGAGAGTTTTCGACGACCAGGTAAGATCGACTCGCAGTTTTTAGATAGCCAGCATTTACGATTTCCAGTGCAGAATCGAGAACTGGAGGCCCATGGCATACAACTTCTGGTTTTCGAGTCAACAATCCTTATACCAGGAAGATCTCGTTAGACTGGATGCCTGAGTCCGAGAGTCTCTCATGCGAACCGATGAGCTTAGATGTCACTTATTCAAGTGACAGCGAGTTCTTAGTAAAGGTAGACGCATTGTTTTCCCTTTTGCCTATTCCCCAAGTGGAGTCATATTGTGCAGTTTGCGGAAGATTCATCTTGTGTCAAACACAGCTAAAAGAGTTGCTAGTTCTGGCTGTGACATAACTGTCGACATCAATGGCATTTCCTCCACTATAAGCTATGGTTATTATCTGCAGGTATGCAGTTTTCTCTCCTTTCAATTTAGATCTAATTGGCATTTTCTGGACAACAGAAATCGGCTTATCACATTCACGTGTAGAAGGACGGCGAGCACCATCACTTTACAACAGCGTTGCGGGAGGCCTATGATACAGAAAGCCATTGTGAAACATCTCAACGATTAACAAGTGCTGGCAGTAGCAGCAAGCTCACACCGGGAGCCGTCGCTTCTCCCATGGTTTTGAGCGTAGGCAGTCACCATGGCAGTCCACGAGATTTTATCTTTCGTGGGCATCCTCTTGAAGACTTCTTCCGCTTCTTCCACATTTGCTGTACATGTTGACGAGGCTAGTTCCAAGGACAACGACGTTCTTCACTTTCATGCTCGAGAAGAGGCTCCTCGACTCGTGAACAAGCCCCGCCTTGGCGTAGAAGTTTAGCAGCGCGTTCCCGACGACACCATCGCATTCCACCGACGAGGCTAGCAAGCGAGAGTGGAGGACAGTGCCTTGCTCCAGTGACGGGATGCTAGAGCAAGCATCAATAGCAGCGACGAATGCAAACCTGTCCGGCAAGAGACCTTGGAGGTCCATCTTCCGGAAGAGAAGCAGCGCCTCTCTGGCATGCCCGAGCTGGTTATACGCCGTCATCATCGCAGTCCAGGCGATCAAGTCGGGATCCAGGCCTTGGAGCTGCATTCTCTCGAAGATCTCCGCAGCCTGTTCGATATGCCCGTTCTGGGCATACGCGTCGATCATGGCAGTGGAGCATATCACCGTCGGGTTCTCGAGGCTGTGGAAGATCTTCACGGCCGGGTTGACGCAGCCACACCGGCCATACATGCTGATGAGCGAAGTCGCCAGGACGGACGTGAGTTTGAGGCCCTGCTGGTGGATTCTCGAATGGATGGTCTTGCCGAGCGAGAGGAAGGCGAGGCCGAGGTTGGAGCAGGCTTCCAGGATGGCGGAGAAGGTGAACTCGTCGGACTGGACGCCGTGGACGTCCATCTCGCGGAAGAGCTCCACGGCCTCGAAGAAGAGGCCGTTGTGGGTGTGAGCGACGATGAGGATGGTCCACGTGAAGACGTTCTTGCGGCTCACGGTGTGGAAGACGGCGATGGCGTCGTGGACGCTGCGGCAGCGGCCATACATCTGGATGAGGAGGTTGCAGAGGTAGCGGTCGCGGTGGTAGCCGCTGGTGATCACCGCTCGCCCGGCGTCCAGGTTCTTGGCGTCACCGTGGAGCTTGAGCATGGACTTGAAGAAGTGGACGCGCTTGGGATCCAGCGCGTGGGTCTTTCTCGCTGCTACTGGTGGAGGCTCCTTGAGCTCTGGATTCAATCGCAACAACATCGCGCGGCATTGGAAGAAAAAAGAGGCTTTTAGATCATCGTTCGATTGTTACAGATGATGTAAGTGGTAACCTCTGGCTCACTCCTGGAGATCTTTAGTATGAAGTTCTTAGCAAAGGTAACGCGAGCGGAAGTTTTAGTTTAAACTTTGATTCGTTTGCAACAAGAGCCACCGGATTTCTGTTTTAGTCACTTTTGAAGAGCTTAATACAAACTCCATGGAACAGTCATCACATACTGATGAACCCTGTCCATCCCGGCAACATCTCTCTGATACATGGATGCATCGTCTTTCTTGAAGCCCTGGTACGTGTATCCCTGAAAGCTAGGCTTGGGAACGACGTAGATGAGTTTGTACTGCTTGGGACGCACCAGCTTGAGCTTGTCATGCAACTCATCCAACCCCTGAACGAGCTCGTGGATCTTGGACCAATAGACTGGATGCGTGGCTGATGTTGTAACCTGGAGAATTACGTCCGGAGTGACCAACGAGTCGAAAGATTTCTCGTTTGACGCGTAAGGCTCCACGAAGCAATTGTCAGGCAAGCCTGCAAGGCCCCGTGATTCCTCCGCCCCCGCACGATAAGCGTCCACAGGACTCACGTCCTTGGAGTAAACGTTGAAACCAGACCCCACGCACATGTGTGTATCATAAGTCTAATCACATTGTGTCAATAAATCTAAACAATTATTCTAGCCAAATCAGAAAGAACTTTATAATTTCAGAATACTAGATTTAACTCCAAAAAAGTTATTAAGCGTTTTTTTTTTGCTGTTAGACAAAACATGGGCTTTCAGTTTTTTATGGATTGCTCCATTTCTTGTTTGTTTGTTTTTATTTTTCTAGCAGCTTTACATAGATGGAAAAAATCACCTTGCTATACAGCTTATTATTTGTTGCCATTCATGTGTTACTCATATGACTTTTTTTATTTTGTTCGTTTTTATTAGTGAGAAATGTAAGCTCTTCGGCATTTCCAACTGCAAAGAGTGAGACTACCAAACCTTTACAAAAGTTTAGGGGTTCATGGCAAGTTTTTCTTGGCCAAAGCAACGAGGGGAGGCATTATATCATTTGAACCTTAGTCATTCCACATTGCAAAAGATCTTTCTGTGACTGATATGAACAGCTGAGTGTTGAGCATGTTTTTACTGCTTGGCAAGGAACTTAACTCAGATAGCAAGATAAGTATCCAACAGGCAAGGTATCCTTTCTCTCAAGTGCCTCCCACGGAGAAATCTCCGATCGAGAAGATCCTGATCGCGAACAGGGGCGAGATTGCGTGCCAGATCATCAAGACTGCACATAGCCTGGGATTAAAAATGGTGGCGGTATTGCTGCTCGAAATTCGCTACACGTCCATCGAGCCAATGAAGCAGTGTTTATCGGTCCAGCCTACTCCACTACTTCAATTCTCGATGCTGCTCATCGCACTGGAGCCGATGTAAGTCTTCCATTGGTTTTTTCTTTCTTTCTCTTCTTCTCGACTGATACTTAGCCAACTTCTTCTCCAGCGATTTGAGGCACATGAAGCTATCAAGCCTGACGCCTTCGAGTAGCATGGTCCGAAAGAAACGAAGAGCTTCCAGGCACTGCTGGTTCAACGAGTACGTAACCAGGGTGATTTTCCTGTGCTCCATCTCATCAAGACGATCTTGACATCGCTCACGCTCCCCACATCTCCCATACATGTTGACGAGAGCAGTAGCTTCAGGAACATCTCCAGCTGCAGCAGCTCCAGGGAAAAATCTTGTGTGGAGCTCTCGAGCCTGGTCGAGAGCGTCCGGTTGGTCGAGCTCCAGAGCCGTTGTGGAGTACCCATTGCAGGTATCCTCACGCTCAAGTGCAGGACACCGCTGCCACCTTTCGACTACAGGCTGAGAAGCTCGCGAAGTTCCTGTCAAGTCCGATCCAAGCGAGCGCATGCCGTTCTTTGCGTCTTTTGTTCCGGCTTAGTCTAGTGAGTGACAGTCTTTTGCACGATTCTAGCACTGTCTGATAGCATCGTCTTTCCTTTCGAAACTTACTGCCATCTTCAAGATTTTTTCCAGACTTAACTTCCTGCGTCTCGAACCTCGAGTTTCTCAAGTTTCTTTTCTCTCCTTTTTTCTCTCTATTCAGATAGTTCTTTGGTTTAGTCTAGTCTATTCTTGTGTGACAGTATTCCTTTTTTTTTCTTTTTTTCTTCTCTAGTATCCTAACAACGTTTTGTTTTTTTCGGTAGGAAGGACTTTGAGAACAATCGCAAACGTGACTGTTGGTGTTCGAGATAGGGATTTCCGGAAGAGCTTACAGGCCAATTTTCCTCGACTTGCCGCAGCCATGGCTGGCTGTTGAATCGGTGCTAAACTGTCTCCGGCCCAATGCTTCGTGCTGCTCCTTTTCTCCGTGCATCGAACAAGTACAAAACACTTGCGAGGCATTCAGGAAGCACAACTTTGTCGGTAAAGTTTTCCAATTCTAGGAGCACAGGGCTGCGAGTTGAAGGAGCTCACATACGATGACGATAGCGACGATGAATGTGATGAATGATGTTTGAAGTTGGCGATATATTCTGAAAAGCAATATATTTTGCGTTCATACGCAAGAGCTTCTGGCACCGGTAGATAAACGATAGGGGTGGAAGACTTTTTCCACTTCTGTGTCTCAACAACCATCATTATCTAAACCGTAGCAATATATGTTGACTTTGAGGCATATATATTGGATAGAAAGACGTAATTACGTCCTTCTAAGATGAATATGATATTGTAAATACAGGTCGAGATTGTCATGGCACTGGAAGAGAAGTTCAAGATCCAAGTGGAGCAGCAGGGTGCTGAGACAGTCAGGGACGCAGCTGATATGATCCATTATCCATAAGCTCGTATATGGTGGATTCAAATACGCCAAGCATACGTACAGGCGTCCGACAATAATCGTTTTTTTCTTGTTCTATTTTTTTATATAGTTCACGCACTCCTAGATTGCTAGCATTCGTTTTGTTTTAAGTCTACGAGTATCTCGGGTGTGAGTTTTATCATAGTTTACTCGCTTTCTAGTCTCCATGTCGTCCACTCCACTGGTCTTTTCCTTTTTTTCATCGATCATAGTTCGTTACACTATTCGTTTCCTTTTTTTATCGAACATAGTTTACTAGGTTTCTAGTCTCTACGTCGTCCACCCACTGTTCTTTTTCTTTCTTTCATCGACTATGGTCTATTGTTTTCCCTTCTAATACCTTGTTTTACAATCCTTCCTGGTGTTTTTCTGTGTTGTTGGCCTGCATTTCTTCATTGGAAATTTCTTAGATTCCCCAGCTGTTTTCTTCTTGCAGGACGCTGGAAAATGCCGCAGAATTGATCCACGGTCATCCAATCAGGCTTCTCTTGGAGGTCCGCTTTGCAATTGGAACAAGTTACTGCATGAGAGCAAACCGTCATATGGACAACAACAAGACAGGCAACCAGAATACATGTGGACGATGCCATGGTGTGCATTGGAGAGTCTTCCCAGTTTTATATAGTCTACACGGGAGTGCGTGCTAGCTCACACTGGTAAAGCCGAGTACGAAAGGTTCTTGTTTCCATCTCTGAGACTACGGAAGAATTTTTATTAAAGTTCGGCAGGGATGGTATGAAGCTCTAATTCAAGGGCAATTTTTGTCCTCTACCTTCTCCTTTTTCTAAACACTGATAAAGGGCCGACGTGACAGTAACCTCAGAGGAGAATAACTTTCGGAGTGGAAGTCAGATAAATGAATAGATTCATGTGAACCTTCACTCACTTTCCACTTACCGTGTTAACAAGAAATCAAGTCCCGATTCTGAGCCCATGTTTTATTTGAGCGAACTTATGGGGGACGAAGCCATGGACAAATGAGACACCTCTGGGAGGTACCGGAGAATATAGGAAAAATGCATTAGAGCGACAAATCCAATATCGAGGAAAAGTTGTCCCTCCAAATCACATAGGCATTACTGTTTTTTCAAATTACCCAAAACTGATGGCACTGGCAGTGGAAAGAATCATTTGCAATTT